CGGCTCTTGTACAGCAGCTCGGGCGACTCGGACGTCACTGACTGAGAGGCCGCCGGCAGCGACTGGCCTGTGACGGTGCCGCTGCCGGTGCGGGTGTGGTCCCCGTTGAGCAGGGTGGGTGAGTGTGGGTCGGGGTCAGACCGAGCAGACGAGGGCGGGAAGGGATGCGGCACCGACCGGGGAGACGGCACCGCCGGCGCAGCGTAGGCTGGTGTGGGTATGTCCCTCTCGCCCCCCAAGCCAGCCGAGGCCAGCAGCTGCGTCACTGCCGGGTTCCTGTTGGCGTAGCTCATGAGCCACTCACGGATCTGCCCGATGTCCGGGAGCTCACCCTCCTGCTGCTGCTGCTGGTCCTCCTGTTGCTGCCCTCCCTCCTTGTGTTCGTCTGTGGATTCGACGGGCTCGAGCGGCTCGAGGTTCTCGGGAAGCTGAGACGCCTCCTCAATCGTCCAGAAGGACTGCAGCTCCTTGCCGCCCTCCTCGGAACCAGGCGGCGGCGGCGGGGGCGGCGGCGGCGGCTGGTGTGTGCTGGATGGGGATGTCCTCTCGTATGGCGTCAGGGATGGGCCCACAATCTGCCCCGCCGGTGGGGGCGGCGGGGCCGACAGGGGCGCGTGCAGCTGCCCGTGGGGCTGCTGCTGCTGTTGTTGCTGTGGCAGCTGCGCCACAAGCAGCTGCTGTGGCTGTTGCTGCGGCAGTGGTGGTGGTTGCCCCCCGTTCTTGGGTGTGGGTGCAGGTGTGCTGGATGCGACGGAGGCGAAGGACATGGCGGCCGATGGGATGACGGGCACGGTACTGCCCTTGGAGAACCTCTGGCGGGAGGTCTGCTTGCCCAGCAGCTTCAACAGGTCATCCTCCTCGTACTCGTCACTCGAGATGCTCTTGTGCTCTTCACCATTGCCCCCCACCACGGCCAGCTGATGCGCACCCACCGGCATGGTGGCCGCCCGGTACGCCGCCGGTGCCGCGGCGGCTGCGTCGGCACCAGCCTGCTGCTGTGCGGCCAGCAGCGCCGCAGCCACGCCTTGCTGTGAGAGGGGTGAGATGCCTGCCCCACCCCCAGCTGCTGCCGTCCCCTGCCGCGCGAGTATGTGCTTGGGTGCCATGCTGGAGGGGCTGTGGCTGCTCACCGCCGGGCTGGTGTGATCGGTGCGGGCCGGAGTGGGCGGCACGCCACGGGCACCACCAATGGCAGCAGCGCCTGGAGTGCCCGCCTCGCAGAGCTGGCGCATGTGGTCGAGGAGGCCCTGTGATGCGTTGGGGAGTGCGGCAGGTGAGCCGGTGATCATGTCGGTGTTGAGTCGCTTGACGATGGTGTCGATCATGAGGGCCATGTCGAAGCCGTCAGGCTGCTCGTACTGGGGACGGTCGCGCAGCTCCTGAAGAGTGTGCGCAAACGCACAGTAGTACCTACACATCACATCACATACGGTGGACCACACACGCAGACACACAGGTGCATGGATGGATGGATGGACAGATCAGATGTCATGTGTGTCGATATATCGACACTTTCTATATCGACACTTTCCTTGTTTGTTTCCCTACCTGGCGCATCCTCTGGGTGCTTCAGTTCTGCCAGAGAGGTTTCCCTCGGGGAATAGGTCGGGGCAGAGTCGCGTCTTGTAGAACTCGGGGTGGTACATGATCTCCTCCATCGAGTGGGCGAAGAGGCAGTCCTCCCCGGCCTCGCAGTCGCTGCGCAGGATGGTCCCCTGCTTCATCTGCACCTTCGGGCACAGCAGGCTCACGTAGCGCAACTTGTTGCACCGAGGAAACAACGGAGGACGACGCCTGCCACACAGACACACACAACACAACTCTGTGCGTGTGTGTGGTGTGTGGTGAGCAGTCAGTGTGCTGACTGACCTCCAAGTCGGGTCGTGGCTGAACTGGCATCTGTCGCCGAAGTGGCAGACGCCGCCGCCCATCTTGAGCCTGGAGCAGCGGTGCACTCTGAAGATCTGCAGCTGGCTGTTGTCCAGCACCGGCGGCAGCGCACCGCGGATCATCGACGAGTACGTGTACCCCTGGGGTGTGGTGATCTGGGTAGACATCAGCATCGGGTGGGGGGGCTCCGGCGGCGATGCCACCAGACCCTTCGTCCAGTCCTTGGTGTCCAGCGGCTGTAAAACGGGGCGAGTGGTGGTGGTGGGCTGACCCATGCCGGGGGGAGGG